TTTGTACTCTACAACTTCATTTTGCACATAGGTGATTAATTACCTATTTAATACAAACAGAGAATGTGCAAATTACGGAAATAATAAACTACTCGAAAGTTGAAGGACAGGGATATAAGGTAATAAAATTAAAGCTGCATCACACCGACTGATATTTTATAGCCTTTCTAGCTCTGCAGCCCTTTAGAATCAATGAAATGTTCAAAAGTAACTGCGTTTCTAGAAGCAGTTTATTGTTGTTAGAGACACACTGTTAAATTGCAGCCTTACTGTTTTACCACACTGTCCAAAGTTTGCAGTGTAATCTTAACTTTCTGTTACAGACAAAATTGGTAGATATGTTTTTGTCTTTGGGATGTTTTGGGATCTTTTTTTTTGTTTTGGTGTTTGTTTGTTTGTTTGTTTTTGTGGGATTTTTGTCGGGTTTGTTGTTTGTGGGTTTTTGGTTTTGTTTTTTGCTGTTTTTTAATTCAGCGCTTTGTAAAACTGAAAGGATGCATTCATTCCATGAAACATGTAAACAGCAAATTCAATTTATTAGTTGAATTTATTTTCATTTAATTGATATAAATGTGACTTTCGTAATTATATACAACTCTTACTTTTTTCTTGAGGGATGGTTAAGTGCTTGTTTGATTAAGACCTATGGTACAGTACAGGATACCCCTGCTCATACTACTTCTGCTGAAGATTTTTGGAAGGATGGTGTTTTTAGAAACTTGAACAGACTTCTGTTTTTTAAAATATTAAGTTTTTTGATGTTTCCATACCTCATTAATGGATAAATGTTTCCTCAAAGTCTAATGCTTCATTTCTACCAAGCCATTAAAAATGGTGCAAAAATAAAAGAACGTTGTTTTATTGTATAATTGAGTAGTACAGCAAGAAAATCATGAAAGAGTAAAAGTGTCAAGCTTAAGAATATTTTCTCAGTTTCCTCATTTTTGTGGGAAGCTGAATCTTGATAATCTTTGTAGCTAAATGCATCTGTGTTAAACATTTAAAATAGGTAGTACTCATGGGAAAACTGATTGGAGCTTAGAACTTGTACAAATTGACAGCCTCTCTTCACTCCATTTTTCATCCTAAAGAAGTCTGCAAATATTCTTAGCTCACATCATTATTGCTCATCAGTGATTCTAATTAGCTAAACAGGAGTTTGTCTCAGTCATTGATCATCATCAGCTTCTTGACAGTGCCTGTATTTCCCCCCCCCCGTCTTCCAATGGACTTTTAAAAATACATTTTAAATACAAAATAGCTCAATGAATGAAGTTGTTTGAAGATTTTTTTCTCAATATTTGTTACCCTTTCAAAAAAGAAGAGATGATTACTGCAATTCTTATCAGGTCCCATTCTAAGGTGTGACAGCAGATCCAAATATGTTATGTCAGTTCCAGTCAGATATACTACCTTGAGTGTCTGTGGGGAGTTATCCTGCAAGGAGCATGGGAAAACGTCCTATGCCATCAGGAGAAACTGCTGATAAAGTTGCATATGAGGTTTCAGTTTGTACTTTAGATTCTAAAGTTTTATACTCTACATTCTGACAACTTCTGCTGTATACCTAACTTGTAATAAAAAAATACTTTTCTTTAACTGTGGGTAGTTACATGTGAAACTGTTTTGGGGGCAGTAGCGAGCATATATCTAGAGAGCTTGAAAGAAAACATCATAAAGGCAAAACTTACTAAATTTATTTAATACTTTTGCCGATCATTATGATGATGATAGATCTGTGTTTATAAACTATGTTCTTTGATGTCTTTGTTTGAAGGAGTGTTTTACCAAGCATTGGACAGGTGGAAAATACTGCATTTAACTAAAAGTGCACTGTGAGCTGTGGCTAGTGTGTAGCTCTGTTACAGGCAGAGCTTTAACGGTGATCTGTTTCTTTTTTTTACATCTCCAGTCCCAGACTTTATTCTGTGAACCTCTATTTTGAAGCCATGTCCTAAAGTCAGAGGGCTCCATAGATTCTTAATTGCCAATAATAAATCAGAATTAGCTGTGCATGCCGTTTTTCAGAGCTGTTTGTTCTTTTACTTGATTCTTGGTTCACTTACTCACTTTCTCTGTTTTCTCCCTAAAATAAATTCAAAAAAATTACCCACACACAATTGTAAAACTCCTTAGGGAGACCTATCTAACTTACCAGGTTTTCAGATTGATTAATGCATTAGAAAACAAGTTTAATAATAATTTTCAAGTGATTATTGCATAGTTGTGTTAGGAGGCTATCTGATTTTACAGTTTTTGTGTCTTGATTGGGTCTTGCTTCACAAAAGACTTGACTTCGAGAGAGGAGATAGCAGTTAGAGTTGGGAATATGATGAGATATTGTGGGTGGTAGACTTAAGGTCAGGATACCTCTGAGGGCTGGAGGTAATGCTATTCAGTGCTTCATGGAGCTTGTGTACGGTTAATGGTATGATTCTTTCTGTGTCTGCACTTGACTCTTTAAGTATTTTGTAGTAGAGACTTCCTTTTTTGTCTTCTAAAGCTCTTAGGATTAGGATCAGCTAGTTTTAGGTGTATCTGATCTTAAATTGTCTAGCTGTAATTAAGACCTGAGGAAATTTCGAATGTTACATTTCTTACAGTTTAGATCAATATAGGTCTAACACATCCTCAAATAGATTACGATGCAACATGCTTATAGGAGAGCGATAACCTTCCTCCCCAAATATTTGGGGTTTGATTACTGCAGCTGTTGTCTTTAAGAAAGGGTAATTGTTGATGGCCATTTAGGACTTTGCAGCAAAATAATTAAGTATGAAGAAGCATTAATAGTTCTGTATTGGAAAAGTCTTTGTTTCATTAAAGTTGTACCTATCGTGGAAGGATGTCTCTTTCAGGAACATGCACAGACTTTTGGATTAAGTATTATACAAATACACTATTCAGCCACTTTTACATTTTTGCTTACTAACTCCTGTTTTTTAAGGTTTCTAATATCTTCTAGTACAAAGTTTTATAGACTTGACAGAAAGTCTTTTACCATTTTTAAAAACATGGCTGAGAATGTAACTTCTGTTAGCTAGATATGTTATAAGCAGGGTAAATTGGTTTCATAACCTGTCATGTTTTGAAACCTGTTTGTTGTTTTGGCTCTGGTGCTCCTTTTTGTTTGTTTGTTTGTTTTTGAAAGGACATCACAGCATAACTTTTGGAATGCATTAAATCATTTCATATTTGCTGGAATTTCTGTAATTGCAGTCTACTTAGTTCCGTTCTTGTAGATTATCAAAGATAAATTAAGAAGAACTGTATGCCCTATTTATTTTACTGCTTATGACTTTCTAGCAACTTATCATGCAGTGGCTTGATCATTTTGATTGCAGGTGGTCAGATGCTTTAAGGTCAGTATCTGATGTTCATTTTTCTCTAAGTTTCTGTCTCTCTTAAGATGTTAAATACATTTCAGATATTAAATATCTTTTGGAATACTTTTTGAATATTCAACATCTGACTTCACAGCACTGAGTTATTTGCTTTTTGAAGCAGATTTTTTTTTAATGTGATACAACTGACTAAGACTGCTTCCCATATATTTTTATTTTTCTTAAGCTAAATGTAGCTTAAATGCATACATTTTCAGGAAGGTTTTTTGCAGTTTTCTTCAAGTCCTACAACATATCATTGCCGCTATATTTGAAATAGGAGAGAACTATAGAGTTTGGATGTGTTGAGACCTGAGTTTCCAAAACCCTCCTCTCAAATTCCATACCATTTTTCTTCAATTCTTTGTTTACTGAAGATTGAATTAGATATTTTAGCAGTCATAGAACTTTATTAACAACCACCATGGTATTGGATGGCATGTTATGGCAGTGTAATTTTGTTTTTTAAATCTCTCATAGAATTAGACTACATAGTAATACTTAATAGTGGAGAAAAATAATCCTTCATTTATCTAATATCCTTATTGGCCATTGTTACAAAATGCTTCAGCAGATTAAGTCTTTTGTGTACAGCTGGATATTTCTGTCCACTTTCTATCAGATTTACTGACTCATGTGTACTAGTGTTTTATTCCCGTCCAGCTCTGAAACATTCCTTATTTGGTAGAGGAGGAGTTGCTCAAGCAGGATTTTCTAGCTTCCATGGGTGACTGATACCAGCCATGATGAAAGTTTTAACTGTATTATGGGAATAGGGATAATCTGAATGAGTTTCTCCTTCTGTCACCTATGGTGCTGGGATTTCCTGAAATGTTTGGATATTTTTAGGGAATATATATTTCTGAGCCCTTCAGTCACACAGTGATTAGACGTCTGACTTGTGCTAAGGAATCTGAATATCCTTACTGTTGAATCATTTTTTCCTTTTCTGTCTAAAGCAGTAGCCAGCTGAGGCCTCAATGTTTGACCTCATTTAAGAAATAAGATAGCAATGAGAGGAGGTACTTTGTTAAGCAAAGCAAAGTGTTGCAGAGATGGTAATAGATGTACACTTATTAACCACATAGAGTGGGCCTGCTCATCCCCCCTACTCAAGCTTCTGAGCTGTCTTTTTTTTCCTGCTGGTAAAAGTTACACATTCTGTCCCTGTGGAATATAGTAAAATAATTATCCATAATGTTCAAAAATACTGTTTCAGACAAAAAAATGTGATGCATCTGAAATAAGGACTTCACCAGCTCAAGTAACTTTGTGATTCTACATTGCAAAGAAGGGGAAAAATCATTTTGCTCATTCTATGTTCAAGTACATTTTCTATCTTTGGGAGAGAATGAGAGACACATAATTTGAGCTACTTTAAAAATATTAAGACCTCTTATTTCTGTTTATTTTTGAACAAAGCTGCGTTAGATGTTTACAAATGTAATTTGCTGTCACTTGCCATATGCTCCCTGATTAATTCTGCAGGGCCTGTCAGCTTCAGATAATTTAATTTTCTGTGCTTTAAAATGACATTCATTATCAGGACATGAAAAATTCAAATGATTAACTGCAAATTATGACTAATAAAGTGTCTATTTTTTTGTTTGTTTCCAGAGAAAAACAGAAAGCTGAAGTCAAGGACAGAAGAATTTTAGAGATTTTGCAAGCCAAAGACAGCAAAATAGAATCTCTAGAACAGGTTTGTATTATGTTTAAATACAGCAGTTAAGAAAACTTCTCATCGACAGCACATTTATGGTTGTTAAAATGAGAAGATAGTTTGCTGTTGTGTCTTAAGAAAAAAGTTGCAGGTGATTCAGAGATTCTGATCTGATGATTCTGATCAGAAGTAATACTTCTAATGAAGTATTATTTAAAGTCTTCTGTATTATTCAAACAGTTGATCTGTTACCAAAAAGTTCATATGATTTTAGATTAAACTTTTTCTGAAAAATCTTCTCAATTCATTGCCTCATTTTTTCCTATGGTCTAGCCTAAACTTGGATTTAAGTCTAGAAGACCTGTGACTGTGTTCAAGTTTGTAATGTGCCCAGGCACATCTTGGTAAGATTTACCATCCTGACAAGTACTAAATAATTAACCTAATGCACCTTCTCCCTGACAAGAAACACCACTGAACTGATGGTGTTTCTCCTTCTATTTATTTTTGAATCAATTAATTTTTAAACAAATATATAGAAAACATACACATGTTATATATGATATGAAGTACAATAGATACATTATATTTTATTATAGTTCATTATAGGGACTATATAATGTATATATAGTATATTATCTGTATCTCATATATAACCTATATTATATACTTTATATGCTATAGAATTATATCCAATATTTAATATATTAGATGTAATATAATGTATTACATTGCATATGTAGATCTATGAATGATGTAATTATCTATAAAATAATACAGTAAAAAAATAAAAATACTGTTTATTATTAAATAAACTTCTATATTACAGCAGTGGCTGAAGTTTCAGTGTGGTGTCTCATCCTCATGGCTGTAGGTGTGATGTATAATGTGTTTGGTGCATACACACACATCATGTTCAGAAGCCAGCAATGTATGGTTCCTGCATTTCTATCCTGTCCTTACCTGAAAGGCAAAATACCTGTGAAGACCTTTGCAGGAATATATATGTAGTACTGTGCTTTTAAAAAGGCTGCCTGCTGTGGCAGTGTCTGAACCTGGGATGTGCATCTCCGTGAGGTTGCTCTCTGTGGTTTCAGATCAATTTCAGAAGCTGAAACTCTAATTGATCAGAAATCTGAAATTGATGGTGTAATGCATTTACATCATTCATGTGGAAATGGGTAGAGACTGGTAAATGTAACTAGAATGTAAAGGAAAACTGACGGCCAGGAAAGAAGACTTTGTCAACATGGTGGTAAAACTCTGGATATTCATATAAACTTGGGAGTGAGAGGCTGGAGAGTAGCTCTGCAGAAAATGCAGAGATCCTGTTCAGAGAAAGTTGAACATGTTTGTAAGCAGTGCCAACCCTGTCCTGGGGGGCATCAGGCACAGCATCACAGCCAGGCAAGGGAGGGGATTGTCCTGCTGTGCTCTGAGCTGGGGTAGCCTCACCTCCAGTGCTGGGGCTGGTCTGGGCACTGCAATAATGGAGATGGTGTAGGGCCTTGAGGGGAAGACAGAAGTGACTGAGGTTACTTGGCTTGTTCAGCCTGGTGAGGAGAAGACGAGGGGCGATCTCATTGTGGTTTATGACTTCCACATAAGGGGAAGAGGAGGGGCAGACACTGATCTCTTCCCTCTGCTGACCAGTGACAGGTCCCGAGGGATTGGCTTGGAGATGTTTGGTAGGTTTGGGTTGGATATTAGAAAAAGTTTCTTCACCATGAGGGTGGTTGCACACTGGAACAGGCTCCACTGGGAAGTGGCCATAAGCTTGCCAAAATTCAAGAAGCATTTGGACCATGCTCTTAAGCACATCGTGTCATTCTGGAGGTTGTCCTGTGCAGGGCCAGGAGTGGGACTTCATGATCCTTGTGGGCTGCTTCCAAATCAAGATACTCTGATTCAGTGATTCTAACAGATGATGAGAACAGAAGTTGTTTTGATGATCATCACAACTCTAATGCAGCCCTTACAATTAGCTTCCCTTAGAGTATCATTGACTTGGGGGGGAGGTTGTGAAGGGCACCAGATGGTGCCAGTGCTGGTATGAAAGCAGTGTAGAGAGGTGATGTCATTCTGACCTTCTTGCCTCATCCGTTGGCTGGGATTCTGTAGAGTTGGATCAAGAGAGGGATTGTTTCTTGAGTGCAATGTTTTAGTTATTTGGTATCAAAGAATAGAGCTTGCTAAAAAACAATGTAGTGTTCTTACTTATTTTATTTTACTGAATCTGCTCCTTTGTTCATCTAAGGAGGAAAAGATACTATTTATGTAATTAACATGCAAATAGGTTGCTTGTGAAAATGTACATTTTGACAGCAATGGAAATGAATGTTCTTTTCTGTAAAGACAGAAAGATTTGAAGGCTGTGTATTTCAGTCTACTAATTTTTTACATCTAGGAAGTTGAGATTAGCCACTCATATCTTCTGTTGTTTTTCTCTTCTGTTTCATGCATCATACAGTTGAAACAAGATTATTTGGTGTAGGGTTTATTGTCTAGGAATTTCTGAGTGGCCAACAAAAAGCTGATTGTATAAATCAGTGCTGAGTAAAGGAAAAAAGAAAAATCAATGAGCTATCTCATCATTTGACATAAATGTAAGCTTCTATTGCTTCTAGAAATAACAGCAAAACCATATAAGGAGAACACTAGATCATATTTCTTGTCTTGTATTGTTCTTAGACTTTATCCTGACATGCCTAAAAGGACTTTTAAAATTTCTGTAAATATGACAGCATAGTCTCCACAGCCTAGATGCAATACATCTGTGTAGTTAGCTCATACTGAAATCTAAATGACCTTAGTTCATACTGAGATATTTCAAGTATTAGAGAGGTTTCTATTTTAATGAATTTTACTGAAAATCAAGTAAAATAATACAGTGGAAACTATGATTGAGAAGTAATATGGTCCTTAATCACATTTGTATAACAGTGAACAGAAGTGCTCAAATGCTCATGAAAATGGGACTTGTGGCTTTAGTTTATGAAAATTTTGAAAAATCATAATTTTTCATATCTTTTGCTGTCCAATATCTTTGGACTAGAGTATATGCATTGAACTTCTATTTACTTAATACAACTTGAGTTTTTCACCTCTCCTAAGTAACGGTGTTGTAATCTTGAGTTTTATATACATGAATAAGGTCTTTTTCTTGTCATGAGTTTATTGTATAACTTCATATTTAAAATATGAATTAGCGTGAGACATTTCAATATGTACTATTCAAAGATTCAAATAAATTTGTTAAAATATTATTAATATTACACTTCTTGTTAATTAATAAATTCACCATGGAATGTGTTGTATTTGAGTTTTCCTTTGTACTTTTTCCTTTGTGCTTTTTGTTTTTTTAAAATGGTCTACTGGTAACTTTTGATCCTGATAGTCACAACTGGGCATCATCTAGCATATAGATACATTTATTCAAAATGCTGTGTGGTAAAAATCTTGTTCTGTGGTAGTAGTAGTGTCTTGATTGCTATACTGATTTTTTAACTGTTATTTTTGTTTTATGCAGTGTCTCAAAACTCTTTTCTCAGCAGTTACATATCCCTGACATATATGCATCACTTCTATATTTGTTTCAAGGAAAAGAATTTCTAACTGCTATGTTTAAGTGGCTAGAACACTCTGTTTGAATTTTACTTTTTCTGAAGACTGATAGATACTTAGCTGCAGACATCTTTTAATTGCTTTTTTATTTGTAAACATTTTTAACCTGTTGTATTTAATTTTTAATAATAGTGTGTATCTTGAGTAGATCACTGATGCTGTTTTTTCCTTAAAAAGGTTTTTTTAGGGGAATGTGTGAAATTTTAAAATTCAAACAACTAGTTTATCAGATAGTGTTGGTGCAGGGAAGAGTCTTCTGCCATTCACACAATAGATAAATTAAAATATCTTAACCTGTTTTCTTTAGAACATGACATTAAAGACATGTAAAAATGGCAGTAAACCTTTTCTTATAACATTGTTAATTAATTAGGTTTCAATTTTGATCTGGAGGAACTAAAGCTAATCTTTTTGTCCTAGACCTTGTAGCATTTCAAAACCTTATCAACTGATTATACTCTAGAGGGGTTAAAATAGTACTAGCTTGCCTCATTATCTGCTCTTGAAAATCTTCAGCTTGCTGTGCAAATCTATATTAAAGCCTCTTTAATGGGTCCAATTGAAAGAAGTATAATTCTACCTTCAAGTATTAATTAACACTGATAAATTTTTCTTAACTTTTGTACCTTCACCTGATTATATTTTTCTTTGTAATAAAATACTTTTATTGAATTAGGACAAATATATACAGAAATTGCCATCTAAATACTTTATTTTCATAGCATGAAAACTTGATTATTCTTGGGTAATGAGGGACATGAGGATAATTTTGGTATTAAGGAGTTCAGATGAATGTGTCAGCAGTGTTGAGATTGTGTGAATTTTGTAAACTCTTTGCAAAAAAAGTTTGTCCAGTGAATAAGATATACTACAGACAAAGCACGTTGAAGGCGATACTAACACAATTTTTTTTTCTTTAAAAAAGAAGTGACTCAGGTTTTACATTGGAAGAGGGGTCAGCCTTCAGTGGGGAAACTTGTGTTTTATGTAGCACCTTTAAACTGCATTCAGTGAATTATCATATTTTTTTTCCTTTCTGTTTGACATCTTCTAGTTAGTTTTCTCATAAAATTCAGGGAAGGAAACCTTGTTAAGGAGCTGATCTCAGTGAGGAAGATGGGAAGAAAATATACAAGCAGTTGAAAATTGCTGATTTTGGTTTATTGATAGAATGTTACTTGAGGTAGGTAGTATGATGACTATGGCTGATACCTGTGGGCTTTTTTGACTGCAGAAATTAATAAGCACTAAATTACAGTGTACCTTTACAGCTCATTAGTATTTTGTATGAATTCCCATTAGGAATTCTTTTTTTACCAGTCGAAAATGTGTTTCTGTGAGGTAGCTTACTCCATTTTGAGGAAATAGTTTTTAAACTGAACTTTTTCCTACTTAATTTTGCAGAAAATCAGCTA